TGTTAACATAAGCTTTTATTTTAGTGTGATGTGGAATTGCTGGGTCATGTGGAAAGAATCTGTTTTAACTTTATACTGCCATACATATGTATTTCTAATCTACAGAATAAGCTCGTGACATAAATTATCTATGTATATATTCCAGAAATCAAGACTGAAAAGGTTAATTAACTTATTCGTGCACACATAGCAAGTGGCTGAGCTGGGATTGAACCAAAGTCTAACTCCGAAGCTTGGGTCCTTTCCACTATGCCCTACTTCTTCTGCATAAAGAAGTCATTTGACTTTAAAATTATACAGTAGTCTTCATAATGTTCTTACATTTCCTGAACCAAGCAAAGTTTTGAAAGTTGCCTGTGGTTTCTTAAAGCTAGATTTCTCACAGTCTCTCCATTTATATATTGCTGCATTTATGTATTCTATTTCTTAGTTGGGCTTTACTTTCTTTAGGCTTCTATGTATGTTTTCCAAATCTGGTTTGCATAAGGTGACTCATAAAAAAATACTTCTAAACAAACAAGCCGTATATGTTTATGTAAATGTTACATTTTTAAAACGGCATTGCATAAAGACATTTTGTTCCTGTTACCTGAAAAATTTTAGGATATGAAACATTGAATACTTTGACCGTGACTTGAAAGCCCAGCTGAATAGAGATCTAATAACTAGTAACAACTTTTATTCAAAGGGCATTACTTACAGGTTGTTTATTGGTCTTCTTTTGTGCTGAGTTTGTATCTGCTCTGAAATATGAGCCATGTCTTAAAATTTGATAGTGAGCTGAGGATAATTTGGAGAAGCAAAGGAGAAAAAGTACTTATAGGCTTTAATCAATTGATCTTATTTGTTACTTGGAATTAAGGTGTAAGGAGTACTCCAAAGTCACAAATGACTTCTAGATTGAAGCTATAGAGTAAAGGTTTGCAGGCCAATAAAATTGAAGCTCTCTGAAAGTGGCAAGTGGATAAAACATCCTAAATTTATTTTGGCTTCACCTGGACATACTTGCCATCTGTTCAGTTAAAATTATGAATTTTTGTATTGCCAAAATATTAACTTGTGCGTGATCTTAATAGAATATTTAATACTGTTTTTCTAAGCTTGCTTTTTCAAAATAACCTAATAGAATGATTTTTTTATTTATTTAATTATTTTTTCCTGATAAATTTGCTTTTTAAAAATGTGTGACAGGGCCAGGCACGATGACTCATGTTTGTAATTCCAACAGTTTGGGAGGCCTAGGCGGAAGGAATGCTTGAACCTAAGAGTTTGAGACCAGCTTGGGCAACATAGGGAGACCTCGTCTCTACAAAAATGAAAAAATTAGCCAAGCATGGTGGTGCATTCGCCTGTGGTCCCAAGCTACTTGGGCGGCTGAGGTGGCAGGATCACATGAGCCTGAGAGGTCGAGGCTGCAGTGAATCGTGATCATGCCACTGCACTCCAGCCTGGATGACACAGTGAGACCCTGTCAATCAGCATAAAATTCTCAGTTTCTAAGATTTTTTAATATAGAAAGCAAGTAGTAACAGATCATCTGTTATTTATGAATTGTGATCAATAAACCCCCGAATATCTACTTATTTAGTCCTACTGTATCAAATATCATCATCAGTGTTACATAACCAACATTAGGGTATTAAATAACATCAATATCAATTAACATTTTAATTGGAATTTTGAATTATTAGGCTTTTCATTTAAGTCATCTACAAATTGATTGGCAATTGAACTTTATCATTTGCTTAGTTTGCTGCTAAATGAAACCATTCAATACTTTTTCTAATAGTAAAAACATACTGAAGATGAGAAGCACTGGTTTAGAAAAAAATATGTAAATATATAAAATGTAATAGCCTGGAAATCAATCATCAGAAAATTGGAACTGATTCCATTTGTAAGAACAGAAACATAAAATAAGTTACAAACTTATCAAACTTTTATTTTAAAATTACTGTAAACCTCAATGTAGGTTATAAAGGAAGACTTGAATGAATGGAAAAACACACCATACTTCCTGGGATGAAAAGACTCGATGCTGGGGCTTGCAGACATTTGTACACATAGAGGAAACTGTTTTCAAAGCTGAGCTGCACTTTTGGCCCCCTCAAGAGTGGCAAAAATAAAAGCCAAGCCCAGAGTCTCCAGAAGTGAGATCTCTGGTAAATTACCTCCCATTTTACGCTTACACAGTGAAAGAAGAGGTGGAGCCATGTGTGTTATAGCCCTCTCATGAACTTGCTTTCTGCCCTTGTGTCCTGTTGGTGGTTCAACCTGGGATTAAGTGGTCAAACCCGGATTAAGATATGTAGACTCGTGATGTCCGCAGCTCTCCGGAAGAAACAGTTGTCCCTAGGACAAAGTGTCATTATCTAGGCCTAAAATTAATAATAATATAATTTTTATATCCAGCGTCCAGCTTATAAATTTAACCAGGTACACACACACACAGCACCAGGAGCAAGCAGCAGCAAAATCAACAGACAACAGAAAAAAATCTTTAGGTATTGGAATTATCAAACAGAAAACCATCATGCTAAGTTGCAAAAATAAAAGGAGAGATCAGGACATAATGGTAGTATACTGGAAACTTTAAAAAATGACAAGGCAGATTTTAAAAAGAACTAAATAGAAATTTTAGGATCAGGAAATAAATTATTTCCGTGTTACAAACATAACATTAGACGAAGCTGAAGTGAGCATTAGTGAACTGGAAGATACAGTTCAGAAGAAGCTCTACAAGAAGCAGCATGAAAGAGGAGAAGTATGGAAAATAGTGAACAGAAGGAAAGGATAAGACTCAGAGGATATGTTAAGAAGATCTCATATTTGTTTGATTAGAGTCCCAAAAATAGAGGGAAGAAATGAAAGCCAAAGGACATATGTGAAAGGATAAAAAATAGATCAACAGAACAGAAGAAGAGAGACCAAAAACAGATCCGTGAATACTTATGACAAAAGTGGCACTGTAATGTGGAGTGGTTGATGTTTTCAGTAATTGCTGCTTGGACAATTGAGTGTTTCTGTAGAAGAAAAAATTGGGCCATTATCATAAGATCAATTATATTTGGACTATAGATTTAAATGTGAAAGGCAAAACAATAAAGCCTTTAGAGGATAATGTTAAAATATCTTCTATTAATAATGGTTGGATAGAGGGATTTTTTTTAACAAGGCATAAAGTGACTATATTATAATTAACCACTCTTGTTAAGCAAAAAACAGCATTAAGGTAGTCACAGAGTCACCAGCAAAAGACTTTCATTTAAACTATGTTCAGAACCAAACAAAGCTAAATCAATGAAGAAAAGGTCAGCGCCATAGAAAGGTGGGCAAAATATTTAACACTTCATCACAGATGATACCCACGTGGTGAAAGGTACTTAACTTCATTAATAATCAGAACTTGATATTTATTCTAGTTTTGGTATAATGGAAAACTGTAAGCAATTTAAATACCAATAATAGGATCCACCAATTAAAGTTTTATATGTATTATAGGAATGCCATTTGGTCTTTACAAGTGACTTAAGAGTTATGTAAGCTTAGATTAAAATGTTCACAGATTAGGTATCCCATTTCGGTAAAAAAAATACACATGAATATGTATTTGTGAAAAATACATTGCATAAAGTCTGGGAATATTTCAGAGTAGTTGTGCGTATAGATGATGGTATTTGGAATGATTTTAATCACATATCTTTTTTACTTATTTGTATTTTATAGTGTTTCTAAATGGAGCATGTACTGTGTTATTTATGTCATTGACAAAATAGGATGTACCAAAATAGGGCAGTATATTCATTTTTCTATTGCAGGAATAAATTTTTTAATTAAATTTTGATCAAATGAACCACCCCTTAGTGTTAAAAGCATGTGTTCTTGCACCTAGGCATATAGTATGTGTAGTAGCAATACAGAAAGAATGTGATAGTTTAATATTCTAAAGGTATGTTCAAGTGACTATCCATTTTCTTTTCACTTAAATGAGTCTTAATTTTTTCTGCTTTTTCATTGCGGTTAATACCTGATTGCCTTCTCCTTATTTCTTCTGCCTCTCTACTTTCCATTCTGCTTTTACAAGGCTTATATGTCCTTAAATTTTCTTCTGTTAAAATTTTGATTGCACATCTAGAGAGTTCAGTGCTTTATAAGGTAAACTATATCATATAAACGGAATTCGTTTTTATAGCTTTAGGGTCTTAAATTTCCTTAAGAATTTATACAGAAAGAATGTAGAAATAATGTACTAGTTTAATATTCTAAAGATATGTTCAAGTGACTGTCATCCATTTTCTTTTCACTAAAAATGAGTATTAATTTTTTCTGCTTTTTCATTGCAATTGATGCCTGATTGCCTCCTCCTTATTTTTTCTGCCTCTCTACTTCCCATTCTGCTTTTACAATGCTTACGTGTCCTTAATATTTTCTTCTGTTAAAATTTTGAATTTGTACATCTAGACAGTTCAGTGCTTTATAAGGTAAACTATACCATATAAACGGAATTAGTTTTTAAGCTTTAGGGTCTTAAATTTCCTTAAGAATTTATTTTCATAGTTTCACGGGGAAAAAATAAGCCCTTTCTGAAGTACCTTTTTGATAAAGTAAATAAATCTGTTATTTGAAAAATGACATAGGCACATGGGTTTTAACAAGATATTTGTTATCTGGCATTTTCTCTGTCATATCGAAGAGTGGTTTTGGTATTTTTTTTTTTCTAGTTTGGATAGGATGTTATTTGACAAATCTTTTTAAAAAATGATGTGCTGTGTTTTGCCACAACTTCCAAAAAAATTGAGAGATAAATTTAGGATTTATTGCACTAGTTAGCTCATCCATGTATACTTGCCTGCTTTAACTGAATATTGTTTTTAGATCATTAATTTTTCCTTTTATCCTTTTTGAAAGTAGAAGCTAAAAAATGTGAATCAATGTGCATGTATGTAAATATATACACATATGTACGTGTACTGTGTAAACATGTTTTGGATTTCTTTTAGCCAACAAATGGAATTTTCTTGAGCATGTTTCTAATTGTTTTGCCATTGGAATCCATGGCTCATGGACTCTTCCATGAATTGGGTAACTGTTTAGGAGGAACATCTGTTGGATATGCTATTGTGATTCCCACCAACTTCTGCAGGTACAGTAATCTAGTATAGTTAGTGGTAACTATTCAGTTCAGAACATTTTCTTAATATTTATATGAATAAAATACAGCTCCTTTTCAAAACCGTATTTTCAAAATATAACTTTTGCGTTTCTTCCAGATTTTTAACAAACTTTATTCCAAGTGATAATATCTTCAGAGTTCAATTGAAATATTTTGATAAATATGATAAGCTTATATTTTAGCTAGAAACCAGAAAATATTCATGTATAACTTTTCTGAGGGAAGATCTTACCCTAAAGGGAATATTTTGTTTAAGCAAGTGTCCTCTGGCCAGGTGCGGTGGCTCACATCTGTAATCCCAGCACTATAGGAGGCTGAGGTGGGCGGATCACCTGAGGTCAGGAGTTTGAGACTAGCCTGGCCAACATGGTGAAACCCCATCTCTACTAAAAATACAAAAATTAGCCCGGCGTGGTGGCAGGCACCTGTAATCCCAGTTACTCGGGAGACTGAGGCAGGAGAATCACTTGAACCTGGGAGGCGGAGGTTGCACTGAGCTAAGATCGCACCATTGCACTCCAGCCTGGGGGGCAAAAGCGAAACTTTGTCTCAAAAAAAAAAAAAAGTCCGAAACAACATAGTGAAATATAATAAAATGTGCATTGGGCCTGAGAGGCTGGAGGTTTAGTTTTGTGTTACCTTCGGTACATTATAACTCTGAACCTTATTATCTGTCTTTACCTAAAGACATCATTCCTGTTCATCTGACAGGAATGGTATGAAGAACTAAAAAAAAAAAACAAAAAAGTGAATGTAAAAACACTGCACACTGAAAAGTGCCATACAAATACTAGGAATTCAGAGGATTGGCAGTGAAGTTTAATAAATGTTTATTGCAGTTTTATTCCAAAATAAATTTTACCCACAAAGGTGGTGACAGCTGTATATCTGTAAATGTGCTACATTTTGATTTTTATTTTATAGCTAAATACCTTTAAAATAGTTATTTGCCATAAATGAATTCTGATGACAGTTTTCATCACACTTTCCCTGAGGGAGGGGAGAGTTGAAGTAAAGTTTTTTTTCTAATTTCAAGTATTTAACATAAAAATCTCCAAATAGACTATTTGTAGGAAATATTTCCCTTCATGTTAAAGACTTAATCAAAAGTTGAAGGTTCAAGAACTGAGGGAAACAGATTTGGAAATGTCCCATAAAGTGAGAAATGACAACCTTGTAGAAAGAAAGAATGTGTGGAAATAGTAATATGCACAGTTAGATACTTATTACATTGTAATTTTTTTAAATGTAGTGCTTACTCTTTTGTGACTGTAATTTTAAAAGTTAGTAGAATACTATTGATGATACATGAAGCAAAATCTAAGGTTTTCAAAAATCCTGACAGAAATCCCTTTTCTGGATAGGAATGATGGTTTTTTCTTTCTCAATATTAATGGTATTTTGCTAGTTATAAGACTTGCTTTATCTACTAGAGTACCGTTTTATATTTGTTCCAGGAGCAAATCTAAGTCTTCAACTAGTGTTCAGTATAAAGCAATGGACCTAAATTTTAATAACTTTTTAAATGCCTATTAATAATTTCTTCTATTTATGTACCTTAAGTTAATGAAATTTGAACACAATTTTTATAGACTATTTTTTAATACAGAAGTATATAATTAAAATATTGCTTTTATATTTTGTGTGTTATAATATTTTTAAACAATAGTTTTTTTAATAGTTCCCACCCAGATATTCTTGAAACAGTGTAATCCTGCTTTTAAAAAGCCTTGTCCAATATCTGTCATGCAAGAAAATATGAATAAGGAACAAAGAGTAGTACTATCTACATTTGGAGGTATTATCCCAGCTTTTAATTTGATTATTGTTTTAATGATAGTGAGTATTTAGAAACCAGGTTTTGATTTTCTAAGCTTAATTCTTAGTACTATAGGAATTTTAGAAAGGATGATATTTTTTAAAAAGCCTGCCTCTTAGCAGCAACTATATTATAACTGATTCTTATATAATCAGTTATAAATGACAGATGAGAATGAATACTTCTTAAACACCAAAATAATTGTTTCTTCTCTACTTCAGTCCTGATGGTCAGCCAACACTGCTTCCCCCAGAACATGTACAGGAGTTAAATTTGAGGTCTACTGGCATGCTCAATGCTATCCAAAGATTTTTTGCATATCATATGATTGAGACCTATGGATGTGACTATTCCACAAGTGGACTGTCATTTGATACGCTGCATTCCAAACTGAAAGCTTTCCTCGAACTTCGGACTGTGGATGGACCCAGACATGATACGTATATTTTGTATTACAGTGGGCACACCCATGGTACAGGAGAGTGGGCTCTAGCAGGTAAACTCACCTTTGGCCGTTTCACTATTGTGAAGATACACATGTATATGTAGAAATCTGTACTTCACACACAGTCATTAAATTTCCAGGATTCTTAGTTTACTGAACTGTACATATGACTTTAATTTGTTTTTCTTTGCTCTAGCATCCCTGTTTAGCCATCTCTAATGATAAGATTCAGAAATATGTCTTGTAGTGATTAGAAGGAAAAAATGCTTTGAGACTTACAGTTTCCCTGAAAATATTTTCAGAATTGCTAAATATATTTTTCAGAAGCTGATAAACTTCGTTGACTAGTATTTTTAAGTTTTGAAATGTTATGGATGCAGATTTCAGTAGTCCTTCACATCTGTAGTTTTATTTATGTTTATAAAGCTCACCAAAATTTTAAACAGCAGATCATGTAGTATGGTGGGAGTAGCATTTAGGTCAGGAGACCTTGGTTCTGGTCCCAATTTGCCACAACTGTGTTATTTTAAGCAAGTTAGTTAACTTCTGTTGGCTTCAGTTTTCTCGCCTGTAAAATAAGGCGGTAATTTTAAATGATCATTGAATTTTATTCTAAGGTACAAAATTCTGTAGGGATTGTTTTGCATTTGAAAAATCATAAAATAACTTTGGTTTACATGCATTATGGGAAATGGAAAACTTCTTAGTTATTGCCAAGAGAGAAATGAGATCTCTTTATATAATATATAAATTTGTCAGGCTTTCCAACTATTAATAGAGAGTAAGTCACGGGCTTTGTTGTATCAATTGTTACTTGCTTAGGACTTATAACAGAGCCCAATACATAGTAGAGGATCCTTAAGTAGCTGATAGATGAAATCATTGAATAAATCATTAAAAAAGAAAGGTAATTTTCTTGTTTTAGATTAGAAATAGTTATTTTAATTACATGATTTTTTTTCCATAAAAGAGTGTAGATGTTTTAAAACCAAGAATATATAAATAATAAAATAGTCATGAATAAATTGGAAACATTCAGGATGAAGAAAAAGATAAATAGAATTAGTATGGAAGGACAGAGGCAGAATTGCCAATATAAGAACTCCAGAAAGAAACAAACAAAAGGTTAAGGTAGAGATGATTTTAAACCAGTGTGATCTCACTAATTTCATGCCAGATTTGTAACTGGAGTTTTTATCATAAAGAGTAATTTTTTTTGAAATTTTTCTTTTTTGCAAATAAATATTGAATAACTCAGTGGCCTTCTAGTGGAAAGACGAGCTAATATTTATTGGGCACATTTTAAGCATCAGCTTACTATACTTAGTACCTTACACACATTGTTAATCTTTATGTGAAATCCTTTGAGATGGATACCACCACTTCTGTTATCTTCATTTTTGAAAGGATGAAATGGAAATTTTAAGTTGTTTTGCAACTTATGATTTAAGACCAGATCTGCCCGGTTCCTAAAGTGTATTTTTCCCCCCACTGTACCATGTTGCCTCCAAGGGTGAAAGCCGTGATGATAAAGAAATGGCATGTTCTGGTTAAATGGATATTTTTGTTAGCATGGGTCACCCCTTTCAAAAAATTAGAATGTACAAGACTAAAAGATGTACTGAACATTAAAACTACTTGAATATAGTTTATAAAATCATTTACTTGACCTATAACTTTTTAATTACAATGTAGAAAACATCTTTTTAACCTTTATGGCTACTTCAGTTTCAGGTAAAGTATAACATTCTGTGTGTTCCAACTCAGAGCACAAGAGAGAGCTTTAGTCAATTAAAATAGTCTCTACAGAAATAGAATTTTAGATCTAAAAGTAGGGATTACTGAAAACTTACTATAATCCTTATGATAATAAACTCTACCCAGATCAAATGGAAAAAACAGGGCTAATTTTTGGTGGCCATGCATATATCCCTAGTTATTTTAAAGTGTTATAAGAGAGTAATTTTAGAAGTAAGTTTTTTGTGTGTGTTGATATGAAAGATTTATTACTTAATGGAAACATTTTTCAAAAAGTTTGCAGTTTTCTTAAGTAATTTAAAATTCATTAAGTATTTCTTAAAGATAGCTATGGAAATCAATTCTAGATGTTCATTTACTAATTCTTATATCAACGTTTTATTTTTCTAAGAAAAAAAAAACACTAAGATACACACAGATATATGTATCAGGTTTTCTAAATTTTCATTCATCATTAAGTTAGGAATAATTTTTGAAGACTTTAAGAACTCTAAAATAGAGTCGTATTTTAGGTAAATGTTTAGCAGTTACATTCTAGAATGATGTCTTTATAATTTTTTTGAAGTATGTTACCAGTAAATTGACCATTACAGAATTCATCTGTTAGCTAAGATTTGTTCTTGTGTAACTTTGAGAGCTTATTATAAGAAGTTTAAAAAAATAGAGAGAGAAAGCATACTGATCTCCCTTCCCTGAGAAAGGTAGATTTTATCTTATAATTCAGCAACTACATACTGTCAAGCATGGCCTGAGGCATCTGGCATACTGTGGGTAGTCATGTTGAACCAGGCCCAGAAAAGCCTGCTTTTCAGTTAGTTCATGGCCTGACCTGCTTTAGACATAACCCTCAAGGGCTGATTCTGCCTCACAAATAATATTGAATATCTCTGCTCTGAGGAAAATGCTTTAATCTATTCCAAATTACATGACAAAGAGCTTTAAGCTCTGCTAATTTATTAATAGTTGGGGTTTTTTTGGTTTTTTTTTGTTGTTGTTGTTGTTGTTGTTTTTTCAGCTGACTTTGAAATAGGAAACATCACAACTGGATTTTAGTTGGGTTAGCAAGTTAGTAGCAGACCCAGTATTAATATCACTGTGGGAAAGAGAATCTATATTTGCCCTTTATCCCATATGTACTTAGAATATGTAGTCTTCTTATATTTATGGAGTTTCATGATATGGAACCTAATATTTTTGCCTCTGCTTGAGGATAGAAAACAATCATGGTAATTACAAGAGAGACAGAAATAAGTGGGAAAAATGTACATAATTTATAAAGTAGTTTATTACAAATAAACCTTTAAAAAGCAGTCTCAATTACTTGAAATGCATCAGATGGCTGTTATCTTAGATAGATGTAAGTACTTGAATCTGGGCCAAAAGCCAAATGTAGCATAGAACCTATTCATAGGAGAAAGCAGAGCAAAAGAAGAGAAATCATTTAGAAAGCTTTAATGCTGCTTTAAGTCTCTTGATATCTAAAGAGCATTTATATAAGAGAATTAGGGTAGAATATACTAAAGAGTATTTATTGAAATAGTTGTGGATGGCATGTTGGGCAATGATGTTTTGTGGCAGATGGAATTTATATAATAGTTCTTGTAATCTGTGTCATCCTCTGATCTCTAGAGAAATTTAATAGAGCTGGCAATAATGGAGAGTTAACGTTTGGCCATTTTTGAAAAAGTATCTTTTGGAGGTATCAGTGGAATAGCACATTAGTAATATGTGGAGACCATGTACTGAAATACTGTCTCTGAGATAATATGTGTGAGTGTTAGAGCGATTAATAAAACAAGTTTATTTTCATGTTCTTAAGCTATTATGGGCTGATTAATAAAACATTAATCAATTACACATAAAGAATATGATAGAATCCCAATTCTAAAGGATTCTCTTTCTGGTGGTGTCCATTTTTAACGGTGAAACCAAGAGGACAGCTGATTTGGGGGAAATACGTATTCTGGAGTTAGGTTGTTGGATCTTGTGCTGACAGATTGTAAAAGTAACTTATGCTCAATGTAAAAATTTCAGAAAAGTATTTTAAAAACCACCTGGAAGTGAAACACCTAGCAATAGCTGCTGTTGTAATTTTTGTAGATGCCTTGTCATGCTTTTTCTAATACATTTGCTCATCAATAAATTTTCTTTATAAATATTTTGTTATAAGATTTCCTCGTAAGGTTTTAGGACATAGTTTATTTCCATTTCCCAAATGGGAAAGAAGTCTTTTTTGTAATTTTTTGTCCCTATGTCTGTTCTTTTCTTAGGATAGATTCGTAGAATTGGAATGATCATTATCAGTGTACCATTGAGGCAGGGCCAAATGTGGTGAGGGTGGCAGTTGCCTCAGGCACAAAACATAAGGGAATGCCAAAAAACTCAATAATCAAAATGAACATTTTAATGTAGTACACTTAAAAATCAAAATTAATGCAAAAAAGATCCACAATGAACTAGATGTAAAACCTGTAGTCAGAAGTTTATTTACTTTAGAACTTTCTGGGTATATATTTTTTTAATCCCTTGTTCTTCAGCTATAAAACTGATTTAAATATAAATCTGTTCTTAAATTCATTCTTGTACAGGTAGGAATAGGGTTTATTTTCATTCAGTAGGTACCTACATATGAGGAAGAGAAGGAAACAATGATACAGAATGGGGGCCAAACTTTTTCTGTAAAGGGCCAGATATTTTTGGCTATGTGGGTTTAGATCCCTGTTGCAGCTATTCAGCTCTGCTACTTTAGAGCAATAGCAGCCATAGACTATGTAAATGAATGAATGTAGTTGTGTTCCAATAAACTGTTATTTATGAAAATAATTATATGAAACTTAAATTGCATACAATTTTTACTGTCACAAAATATTCTGATTTTCTTTCAACCATGTAAAAATATAAAATCAACTCTTAGCTTTCAGGCCATACAGAAAGAGGTGGTAGGCTGGATCTGGCCCATGGGTTGTAGTTGCTGCCCCTGGTATAGAATGTTAACTTTTCTGTATAGTTGTTTTCACTAAATACAAAGTATTTTCTTAATTTATACTAGCAGATTCCTTTTTATGTGATTAATAAGGATTTTTTTTTTTTTGCCTGAAGTTGAAAATCTGTTGTAAAAAATATCTTTTCAAAAGATACTTTGAAAGTGTAATTTAAATACTTTATTTTTTGCTTATTTAATTCTAAGAACTTAAGGAAAATACATGTAAGATGAGTATGTTCCCATTACGAGAAAATTATTAAGAGAGTTTTCTTAATGAGAGGCTGCAGAAATTATTGCTGCATTGAATTTTCTCTTGTTCACAGGTGGAGATACACTACGCCTTGAAACACTTTTAGAATGGTGGAGAGAAAAGAACGGTTCCTTCTGTTCCCGGCTTATTATCGTATTAGACAGCGAAAATTCAACCCCTTGGGTGAAAGAAGTGAGGAAAATTAATGACCAGTATATTGCAGTGCAAGGAGCAGAGTTGGTAAAAACAGTAGATATTGAAGAAGCTGACCCGCCACAGCTAGGTGACTTTACAAAAGACTGGGTAGAATATAACTGCAACTCCAGTAATAACATCTGCTGGACTGAAAAGGGACGCACAGTGAAAGCAGTATACGGTGTGTCAAAACGGTGGAGTGACTACACTCTGCATTTGCCAACGGGAAGCGATGTGGCCAAGCACTGGATGTTACACTTTCCTCGTATTACATATCCCCTAGTGCATTTGGCAAATTGGTTATGCGGTCTGAACCTTTTTTGGATCTGCAAAACTTGTTTTAGGTGCTTGAAAAGATTAAAAATGAGTTGGTTTCTTCCTACTGTGCTGGACACAGGACAAGGCTTCAAACTTGTCAAATCTTAATTTGGACCCCAAAGCGGAATATTAATAAGCACTCATACTACCAATTATCACTAACTTGCCATTTTTTGTATGCTGTATTTTTATTTGTGGAAAATACCTTGCTACTTCTGTAGCTGCTCTCACTTTGTCTTTTCTTAAGTAATTATGGTATATGTAAGGTGTTGGGAAAAAACATTTTATAATGAAAGTATGTAGGGAGTCAAATGCTGACTGTAAATGCGTAAGAGATGTTAAAAATAACACTGCACTTTCAGGAATGTTTGCTTATGGTCCTGATTAGTAAGAAAACAGTTGTCTATGCTCTGCAATGGCCAATGATGAATTACTAATGCCTTATTTTCTAGGCATATAATAGTTTAGAGAATGTAGACCAGATAAATTTGTTTACTATTTTAAGAAAACTACCAGTTTACTTACAGAAGATTCTTTTTTCTAAACAGTAGGTTTCATCCAAGACCATTTGAAGAACTGCAAACTCTTTCTCTTAGAAAACAAAGAGGGCTGCCTAAAATAAACACAAAATTTGCTTCTACTCCATCACATTCAGATGTCTTGGTTGTGACCTATTGCCAGTGTAGCAGAGAACCCAAGTTACATTTTAGATCAAAACTTTGTTTATGTAGGTATTGTTAAAAGGCTAGTGCCTACAAATTTCCCTTTCATGCTTTGGTCAGGGGGCCCTGAAAACACTGGTAATATTAAGAGTCTTTCTCAGGGTAACTTAATGTTTTCTTAATGAACAATGTTTCCAGCTACAAATTCTTCCAATAAACTGTCTTCCTTTTTGAAAAGTACTCTCATAGAAGAAATTTAGCAATTTCTCATTTACTGACTCAATCTAAGTATTCAGAAAAGATTTTGATCCCTATTGAGTTAATGCTCTGCCATGAAAATTATTTTTCTGATCCTTGTTAGTGATAACATTTTTTTTCTACTGAAGGTCAAAGGATAGGAAACAAGTCATTTCTCTTCTTGTATACATGTAATGTATTATGTAAAAAAGTATTCATATTGGCAATTTTAGTTAGGCATAATAGTGTGGTTGTAATTTTTAAAACTTAGTGTTTGTCTGATTAAAGCAGGCACTGATCAGGGTATCTCCTAAGAGGTAATTCACTTCTAATTCCTTTCCAATAATTATTACATTCTAAATTTTCGTCTATGAGAAATAACAAGAAGGGAATAGAATTAAATTGGAGAATAATCTTCATTGTTTAAATGGTTTGACTTCTCACCATTGAAGCCATTTTTTCTAGCCTCAGAAAGAGGAAATAATGCCTCCACCATTTTCTACCTGGTGACTTGAAAATTGAACTTTTCAGTTAGGAAGAAGAGTCGGGGAACTTGTATACCACTATCTATGCAGCATTGTTATAGTCTGATTATTTCTGTGTGTTGAGTATGATTTTCCTAATGCTCTAAATAAAATTTTGTTAAAAATTAATTTTTCATTTAATGTGCAAATATTGAATAGTATATTAAAAGTGGTAGTCATTAAAAATGCCCATGTTTTAGAGTTCACATTTGAAAGTTTCCAATATAGGTTAAGGATTTATATTAGCATTGTCCAAACAGTATAGTTTTTTTTATTGTTCTGTTCAGCAGTAGTGTAGTAGAAAAGCCAAATGTTAAAATTGTGAGCTTTTAGCTTAAAAAAAGTTAATGGTAAGTAAAATCTCCTTTTAGATTTCTCAGCTCTTTGTGAGCAAGTTAGCTTTAACTAAAGCATTATCTCTTCACTGTAACAAAGTCAAATACAAAAGTATATTCTGCATTCTTTATAAGGTAGTATTAAGGTGGTACTAAAAATTACATTCTAAAAACAGCTGACAGTTTGACAGTCACAAACCTAACTTTTTGATATGTATTTTCTGTGAAAGTAAAACCAAAAATGGTCTTTGGGCCAAGAATGTGACTTGAGCCAATTCGTTAACCAAAAATTTATAGAATATCCACTTTGATGAATTCTCCTACCCAAACAAACAAAAAACTATAAATGACTTTTGGGGATGGTACCACAAAGCTGACATTTTAAAAACAATAATGAAGGTTGTAGAAAACAAATATTACAAGAAGGATAAAGTGATTGGTTACTTTCACCTAAAGATTAAAAAATAGATCTGACAATTAATGAGACTAATTTGTCCATGGCTGTCAAGTTTAAGAAAGAGTTGCTTGGAGTGAAAGGAATTCTTTTAGGGCGAAACTTTACCATTCTATTAAAAAGAAAGAGGTAACTTGGAGATATTTTTCAACATAATTTTAATATTTGTTTCCTCGTGTGATACCTTGCTAAAACCACAAAACCACTAGCCTCTAAAAACATCTTTTAAAATTGTGTACACACTGTTGCAAAATAAATAAGGAGCCAAGTTCTTTCTCTCCCCATGACTTTTCAGTTATACTGTCATTTTATTCAAAAATGTTTAGTTTGTTCCTACCTAAACTCTTCCCTAGACTACTTGGGGTTATATTTCCATAGAATTCCATCTTGCTCTTAATAAATTCAAAATTCTTTGGAAAAGATGCATTTCAGAAGATTATTCTTATGACCAGTTATGCTTTAAAAAATTACATTCTTAATTAAAATGCACTTATATTTAATGCATTAGTGGGTAGATTTTCGTTGTGAGTAAAATGTTCATTAGAATCTATTTGTAACTGGATATTTTATAATTTTGGACTTAAACATATTTACTCTTGGGTACTGCTTTTTTATATGTATTCAAATTTATAGCTTAGTCTCTTTTAAAGTAATACTCTACATTACTTTCCCACAGGTGGTGATAGTTAATATAATGTATGCCAGAAGAAAATGATTTAATTTTAAGAATGTGATTAGATATATTTGACAGTAAATGCTCAAAGGAGTTAGATCTGTCAGTACTTTTGAATGTCTCCTGTATTGGAAACTATTAGACTGTCACCTCTTTTTAGGCAAAGGCTTACACGTGTTGGCATTTCTGGTACACAGTTACTGAGAAGAGTGCCTTGTCCATAATGAGAAGCATTTAATAAATATTTTGGGCTGAGTGCATAAATTTAGAATCCTAAGGAGAAATTGGAATAACTTGATTGTAAATTACTACATTTTCTTTAGTTTTACATAAATGGATATTATTTCAAGATCTTCATTAAGCAAGTAATTTAGTAAAAACTTACAGAATCCGTAAAAGGAAAGCAAATCTCAAATTTGTAGTTAATAAATGTTAAGATTAGGGAAGGAAAAACTGTTTCAGAACTGGTTTGAATGAAAACATAGCTGATGTTGCCAAAAAATGGCTTTTTGTGGGTTGAGTCCATTTCCATCATGACTCTAATACCATTAAGATTGAATCATTCATTTCCTCACTATTATATCTAGACAGATTGAAATTTATCACAAATGTAAATTATTAAAAGAAAAAGTCTGATGAACAAAGAAGGAATTTGGCTATGCATATCAGTGACAACTAAATTGTAAGGTCAGTAAAACAGGCCTATAAACGTAAGCAAGGTAAGGACAAGCTAGGGAAACTACAAGTATCTCCTTTTTTATATTGGCTTAACCTATTCACTAATTACAACACATAGAAACAATATAAAACAATGAAGTTTAAGCAGTAATTGTTTGAGAAACCATTCTGTTGATAATTTACATTTATGTTTATTAGGAAATACTGTTTTTATTACTTAGACCGAAGTTGATTTGAAAACTGTGGGCTACCGTAAGGTTTTTTGTTTTGAAATATTCAATACCTAAAAGCCATTCTGATTTTTAAAATTGAAGTTGACTAGTCATCTTGTATAATGACCTCATATTTTATAAGTTTGAACTTAAAATAGTTAGAAGTAGACAATTTTAGTAAGCTTTTGTTTTTATTTGGGCTAGCCTAAAAGACATTGATTTATCTCAAAGATTTTTAGCAGCGTGCAAGGGATAAATGAGTACGGCATAGCTTCCTAGACAAGCAGTGTTCACTAAATGCAAAGTAAACTTTTCTAAGTTTAAAAATATTTTTATATTAAAACATACCAATGTATTGATAAACAAAATTTGCATTAATTTTTAATATAAACTATAGACTTCAAAGCAATTTTAATCTTGCAATGGGTCATTTGATTCATCCTCCTCATCCCCAAACACTTTGGACCTAATATTGCATGTTAATGACACTCTAAACAAGTTTTTTTTTTTAAAAAAAAACCTTTTTCTTTTGACTTGGAATACAAATAGCACAATTAATTTTCACTAAACAAATACTTTTGTTTATACATAGAATTTCAGATAGATGCCATTTTAATGGGATTTTATAATATTTCTAGATTCTTCAAAGTCCTTATACATAATTTGTTCTACACACTTGGGTATTGGTAAGGAAAATACAGGATACGGATTTTAATTTGTAATCCACATCCATGTGTATTGATACACGTTCTCTCCTATTTCTCTCCTACCTAATTAGAAGAGGTATTTTTTACAACACCTAACCTTTGGATTTCTCTCTTCCCTTCCTCATGAAACAACTTGAAATGACAATAGCTATTACTTATTGTTCGCTAGGTTCTAGCACTGTGGTAAGCACTTCTGTATATTGATTTCATTGAATCCTCCCACCCACATTTTGTGGTAGATATACTTTTATGAATGAGGAAACTGAGGCATAACTTTACCAGAATGACAAAGCTATGTCTAAGAAATTGGGTATCAAACTCAGCTTTACCCCTGAACTCCTTAAAAAAAAAAAAAAAAAAACTGCTTTGTAATCCTATCAATTTGGTTTCTTCAGGGTCTCTACTGGCACTTTTCCATCAGAATACAGTATGAACATTCTCAAGGCCTTTTAGTAGTAAAGAAATCCTCCCACAATTTTATATCAGATCTTTATTTTTTGCTTACAGTGAGGTTATTTGAAAGTGAGTATTCTGTACTCAGTCTCCAATTTCTCAGCTTCCATTTTATCTTGTATCCATAGCAGTCTGGTTCCACTCGGCACTCCCCTGACAGTGTTCTTACTAAATCACCAGTGACCTCCATATTGCCAAATAAAGAGACATCTGATCTCTAGAGCATTTATTAACTACTTCCTTTATTTTCTTTGTTTGTTTGCTTGTTTGTTTTGGCTTCTGTAAATACTATTCTTGATTTTTTCTGCTGTTTTTCTGGACATTCCTTAGTGTGTTTTGCCAGGTCTTCTTTCTCTACCCTATATTTTGGGTTTTCTCATATTCCTTCTCTGCTCATTCCATCACCTGCTTTCAATAATCTCATTCACACCTGGGATTTCAGCTATAACACGTTCCACTGATTACTCTCAAACATCTGTCTCCAACATAGACATCTCTGGCACTCCAGGTACATGTGTTCAGTCATGTACTAAACATCTCATTTCACAGGTTCCTCAAACTCAAATTCAAATCAGGTAGAGCCTCATCCAAATTGCTTAGTTCCCTCTATTCATGTACATGTGGATGGTACCATTCATGCTTTATTACTCAAACAAAAATTTGGGCTTTATCCTTGACTCTCCCTCTTCCTCGTTACCCACATCCCATTAGTCTCCAAGTCTTACTAATTCCACCTCCTACCTAGTATTTTATATAACCATCCCCTCATCTCCATTTCTACTGCCTTTACCCTATAAAGGCCTTCACCATTTTTCCCACTAGTTATTGTTATAGCTTGTTAACTGTTTTTATTCTCCTGTCTCAAGTCTCATTTTGCTCCAATATAACTTCCATAGTTTTGCCAAAACAACCTGTCTATACTCCCTATAACTTTCACCATAAAGGATACATTCCTTGTGTTAGCATATCAGGCCTGCCTTGTGATTAGCCTGTTTCCAGAATCTCTAACTGTTCGTCATCTCAGTCACCTTCCTGTCATTTAGAACTGTTTGTAAATCTCTGAAAATGTTATGTGTTTTTTTTTTTTTAAAACCAGTTCCACGTGGGTTCAAAATACATGCTGGTCTCAAAACGTGTTAGTCACAAGTGAAGCAAGGCTCAGCAGGGAGAATAGATCGTGCTGGTGGCATAAATCTGGCATGAAAAATGTTTTCCCATGTTATTTATGAGTCAGGTTTGCATCCAGGAGAGATACTCGAGAGTAGAGAATCATGGACAGTGACTAATGAATATAACAGCTTAACTGACTTTTTATGTCATTGGTCCCCACCACAACATGTTGGAGATGGGAGGATCATGGCAGGTAGAGGGGAGAGCCTTACAGCTGGTAAGGAGGTAGGTCTAGATTGCAAGGCGTGGTCCACATAACTGTGTAGCATCACTAAGTCTCTCTTCAATCCAAAGGCAGGAGCTTGCTTGCCACTCTAGTTTTGCCAAAACATAGGAAAATGCTTATTACCCAGGCAGTGCAAAATAAGATCGGAGCTGTGAAGTCCAGGGGTGAAGTAAGCAGCCCCCTTGCAAACCATGCACCATTTTGTTTTG